CTTTTAAAACAAGTTTTGAAACAACATTTGAATTTTTTAGAAAAGTAAACTACTGAGCTTCTATACATCACTTCTTGTCCCCTCCATCTCCATGGGTGAGTAGGCAAGTATATATAGCAGGGTATGGCTTCCCTTTTCTGACTTTGCTACTAGCACTGCTATTGCTACTTAAGACAAACCAAGGAAAACAAATGGCACAGAAAGGATGGAGAATTTAAATAAAGTTAGTTCACATCCCTGGGATCAATGGCTATTTATATGTATATAAATCAGCTACTTTCTTTCATGTATACAGCAAAGGAAGCTCACTTTGGTTCCCATTTCAATTTGAAGACTTAAAGGGAAGAAACAACATTTTTGTTGCATCCCTATTTGTCTCATAAATTCACCTCTGAGAAATCAGCCCGACCCACAGGGCTCTCCTTTTCTTCATGAATGATACAGCAACTTTACAAGAAAAGCTGGAAAATAACTCAAGGTTCCAGGACTCAAACTAGCACCTGGGAATGCCTAGAAAGCAGAGTAAAACCTTTTCCCACGTTCCTTCGCAGCAGTGTTATTCTGTTAACGCAACACGGGGCAGATTTCAACAGCAGAGAGAGTAACATTCTGTAAGCACGCACGTTTGCTCCTTGCCCTGCCCCTATTCACCACCTACACTATTTACAAACCTGATTTCTCATATATGTCACCATGAGTTAGACTCCTAAATACCTCAAAGATACGGACCTAAGAACGCTATTTAGGCCTCTGATTTTATCCATTCTTATTCCATTTCATGTACATTTGTTTTTCACTGCTTTACTGAACAATGGTAAATTTAGATTTGTTTCCAGCCTAGCTGAAAAGGTATAGACGTTTCTGGCAGAAGGAGGCATGTAGTAACTTGGGTAATTGCAGTCTCTGCATCATGTATTGAATTTGCTGCCACATTATATATGACTTTATAAGAGTTGATGGATTTGTCACTTTCTCTAGATTCTTATTTAACAAGAACGGACAACAGCTCTCCTATAATTTGTAGGTTACAGTGCGACTGTCAGCCTTTTTCTACATGCAAACCATGCAGGTAGGACTTACTATTGTGCTCTCTTTATTTCTCTTCATACTGATGTCCCAAATACGGATTATGACAACACTGCACTAGGTATTATACAAACCGAAAAATGTTTTCGCTCCGATTACACCAAGGTTATAATATCTGTGTAGGATCTCCAACTCATCCAAACTGTGATACCACAGAACTTCAGTCACCATCACACACACATAGGATGCTCCACAGCCCATAGCACATTTCAATCTCACCTCAGATCGAACCTGGAGTGATAGCTCCAAGTGAATTTATAAGGAAGCAATTAAAATTACAGTCTAGTCTTTCCTTCTTGATGTCATTCACACCTTATAAGGCATAAAATGCTCCAAGATCTCATTACCCAGGAGATCACCTGACAGTATGCCCTCTTCCAGGTCCCTTGGGGACTGAAAACTCAAGAATCCTTGCCAAGAATTTCAGTATCAAATGCCATCTGCTTTGGTATTTGCTTCTCTTAGAAGTAAATAAATACACAATTAACAAATTAAGAAATAAAATTCCTAGCAGTTATAAAGCACTTCATATTTTTCAAAGCACTCTAGACACATTAAATACATTAACTAATTAATCCTTCTAGAAGCCAGCCTGGCAAACTTCACAGCGTGCTGCGCACTGAGAAATTGTTGCTTGATTTAGGGTTTATGTTTACTACCCTTCTCTTTCTTGTTTCTGACCAAATAAAACCAATTTTGTCATACTTTCATTCTGCGTGGCTTTTTGGTTGCATAGTAAATACTTAAGTGTCATTGTGATAAGCCACAGTCCGCGGCTATAAGCTTGAAGTCAGTAAAACTAGTAAGACAGTTTACAGCTAGATTTTCTACAGATTACTGATACTAAGCCTCTGTGTTGTGCAATTAAACAGAGTGTTTACACTGGTTACCCCTTCAGGATATCCTCTCACCTGGTCACTGCCATCAAAGCGATGAAAAGGCCAATGATATTTTCTACCTATCTTTCAAAATACATAGCACACACATCCCTGCCAGTCCACCTACTAGACTCAACCCAAACCTCAGCAGCAAAGCGCTGCAGCAGTGGACGAACCTGACTGACACTTAAAAGGTTTAACAGGAACAAGGATTTAACTGCCAAAATGTCAGGGTGAGATTAAGGCGCTTCTGCTGCAGTCTTTACTGTTCTGAAAGGAAACTAAAAGACGTAGTATACATAGTACACACTACTGCCTATTCCTGACTCCACCATTGCTCAGGTTCCTCCTAGAACGATTCTAGATTTTGAGTGGATATATGAATAAGGAAACATAAATAAGCCTTCTCAAAACCTGTTTTCTTCCAGGAAAACAGTATTTGAGAGAAGCAAACCTTACTGAGCATCATAAGCACCTGCTATGCATCACCAGATGGGGCACTAAGGATGGGGAAAATATAAGGGTCAACTGCAATATACAGTCGCTGAGTACTTTCAGGAGAACTGTCTCTCTTATTTTAGAGTTCAACATCGGTTTTAAAAAATAAACAATGAAATAAGGAAGTGAGAGAAAAATGCAAATTTGAATACTGCAGTATTTTTATTTAAAAACACTTAGACGCAACTAAAACATGCAGTGCTGCAGTTTCACTTTAACGTTGTCCTAATTCATCCCACAGGATGGAATGAAAACAGGAAATGTAGGATGGAAACAATTTGTTTTACAGAAATGGTAGAGGAGGTAACGAGTGGGTGATACTAAGCCTTAGAAATGTCTGTCTTCTGTAAGCCCAGCCACTGGAGACTCTACTTCCCAGAACAGCAGCTTATAACACAAGATGCCTTCGTTCCGATCGGGGGCCTTTCCAGAAAAAGGCAACACAAACCCGGCTGGGGTTTTGCATGGACGACACATCATGTTGATTGCTCCGTGACACAAACCTGGCTCTGCTGGTATCACAGAGTCCTTCAGACCTCAGAATCTAAAACCATGACATCCTTCTTGGTAGAGCTAAAAGATTCCCAGAGGAGCTGAAAGCTGACAGCATGCAAGTTAACCACGATGTGGTCCGGCCACTGCGGTCAGCTGACTTTTAAAAGGCTGAGGGACTTTAAGGACAGGTGTAACTAAAGACAACATATGCTATCCATACTCAAGTGCAAGACCATCACAGCCAGAGAAGCCCTTACTTGTGACCTCTGAGATGGCTATGCCTGCCAGGGGTTGCCTGAGCAGATATGCATTTCACCTAGACCAAGCATCATATTTTTGGCATTTGATTCGCGAGTGCTTCACTTTTTCTGAATCGGAAAGTCTGGAGGTTTATCCCTGTGGTTATCAAAGGTACTGCGCACTCCTTAACGTTTGTTTATTAAGAGTGCAACTGCTTATATTTCATTTACCGAAATACAAAATGCAAAAAATTCTGTAAGTAACAATGTGATTCGCTATCTGAATTACCCTTACATCATAAGAAAAACAACAAAATAGCAATAGACAAGTAAATAAGAATTAAGAACTCTGGGGGTGAAAAATGCTTTATTCCAAGGCACTCAGACTCTGACTTTGACTCGAGAGCAGCAAAACTGGTAAGAAAATTTAACAGAGTATCAAAGGATAAAATTAGGGTAACATTAATTTCCAGGGACAAACTTCTCAGCTACCCTTAGTGGAAATGAAGTTTTTTGTTTTTTAAACTAAGTTTAATTTCAGACTGGAAATTGCAGACTTGCTAGTTGAAAATCTAGACCCTTGAGCTTCCAAGCAAGAAACACTTTGCAAATTTGAAGTTTTGAAGTTGATACATAATGGTATTGTCAAAGATCAATGTCAGAGCTTGTTTTCCAGCAAAAACTATTATTAATTAAACACATGTGGCCATTCCTACACCTACTCATTCCAGTCGGAACAGCCATGTTACACCTTAACAAAACAGTAAAATGAAAACCAGTGAAAAACGCAGTGCTACTTTATGCCAGTTCCCAATATGACAGGACTGCCACGATTTGACAGCCTACTGAAAGTAACTTTTTTTTTTTTTTTGGTATGATCACTTACCCACTGAAGGGCTCAGAGATGACACAGACTTAAAGATGCTGGAAATCAAAAGATAACATTGACTCCGGATATTGCACGCTAGTGAGCATGGATGGCAAGAGAGAACAAGGATTTTTTCCTCACTGGAATACAAGGGCCATTTGATAACATCTTAGGCTGTGAGACTCGTTCCTTCCACAAGACTTACCAAAGAGGTATATCTTCTTACTTTTTCCCCAAAACACCTGCTGGAGACCACTGCGCAGCACACACAAATGACAGACTCCCTAGACTCATTAGAGCAGCTTGTCCAGTATGCCCCATGCAACTCGTAGGCCACACAGACAGCTCTCTGCCACCTCCACCTCATGGGCTGATTCTATACCAGATCTGTTCTAGCACACGCATGCATCAGAATTAAATATAGTCCCATCTAGTGATGGGGCAGGCTTTCCTGACCATTTGCTACGGCTTTTGTCCTGTTTTGCCATTATTTAGCACCCTTTGTTATGCCTTTTTTTTAATTTGATATTTTGTTCTGGTGTCTTTCCAATTATTATTTTACTTCTAGCCTCTGGAACTTCTTTACAGGGCAAGTTCAAACAATAATTAGCTCTTTCGAATTGCTTCCTTCAAGCCATCTGCTTATTCCCTGCCATATCTTCCTCCCTTCAGGCCTTCCAAGACAAGCAGCTGTTAGCTTATTAAAATCGTAGGTATTGCATCCATTCATTTCCAGGACTAGTCTGTATTGAAATTAGTAGTATACTGTAACAAGATCTCAAGAACTTGGCAAAGAAATATACGTTAATAATATTATCCTTTTGCCTTCTCCACCCAGCTGTTCCTTTTAATCATGGCATTCCCATCACTTAATGAAAATTGGTACACAATAAATTCTTTAATAAAGACTGGGATATAAACTACATTATCCATTACCTTTTAGAGTCTCTTGGAATCTATCCACACACACAGTATCCTTCACACCCGTGTTCCACAAAAATCTTGGTTAAAGACTTGCTGCAGACCTGTAGGCAAAAAAACAGAGAAAGAGATTGTGACAAACCTCACTCACAGGGAGAAGTCGTCATAGCTTTTAGCCTTTGCCTCACTCCTGTGTCTACTGTGACTCCAATGTTACAGAAGGCACAGCAACAGTTGCTCATCTGAGAGCGCGCAAGAAAATGGAAATAGGAAGATGGAGCACAGCGGACCCTTAATGCTACCTCCGTATCTATTGGCAAGGCTTCTGGTGCAGAGCAACCTTTTCCTTAAAAATGAAGAAGTAATTTCTTCCCCTATACAGAACAAAAATGCTATTTTCAGTGAATCCGGCGTTTGCTCCCCAGGTAAGCATCACTGCAAGTCACCTTCCATGCTGGTAGAAGTATGAAGCACGTTACCCAGATGCAATCGAATCAGCAAGTTGGATGAGAAAACCAAGTTTCCACATCCAACTGGTAGGATTCTACACTGTTGAATGCCTCTGTTGTGCATGAATTATGCAAAAAATTGGGCAATTTTTTCAAACATCCTTGAAATAGTTTTGACACGTAGGGTATCTGTGAATTATCAGTCTTTGCAGAATCATGATCAGTGGAGTCGGAAGAGACCTCAGGAGGCCCGCTAGCCCACCACTGTGTCCAAAGGAAGGATCAGCTAGAGCTGATCATTTCCGACAGGTGCTTGTTTAGCCTGTTCTTAAAGATCTTCCCCGACAGAGATTCCCCGTCTGCCTGGCAGACTACTCCAATTTTCACCCCTCCTCAGGTAAGGGGTCTCCTAATAGCAAACCTTGCTGGAATTTAATTCCATCACTTCTCTAATTTCCATAGGCATGGAGACAGGCTGCTTATTTCCTTAATCTTTGCACCAGCTTCCATCTACTTGAATGACCTTTATCAAGTCTGCATCCCCCAGTCATCCTGCTTCCTTTTCCTCCCGCCAGCTAAGACTAAAGGAGACCTATCCCCCGCCCCCCACTATTCTCTGCTATCCTACGGACGTGACCCCATTGCACAGGGGAAGAAGTCTAGCCATATATCCTAGCTGTTTCAACATTAATGAGATAATCCATATTTAAAGAATTAATCCCCACTGCTCAGCAATGGAATGTATAAATAGTTGCTATCGTGTGTTGTTGGGACAACTGGAACAACCATTCTGGAGGATGCTAACGCTCTGCTGCTGTTTTAGTAATTGCAACATCACTTTTAAGTGCCTCGGTACAAGAGAAGGAAATGCTGTCAGATTAGCTAGTGCCTTAGGCACTTCCCTTGGGCCTTGCCACTATATTCTGATGTATCATGCAACCTAATGTGAACGATAATTTGGCCAAATCTTTGTTCCCTCATTCATGTACCTTCTTAGGGAAAATACAAAAATAAAACACAATCCAGAAAGAGGCGTTTGCCCCATAAGCTTGGCAGATTGTGAAACAGCTGTGCACGAGTGTTTCAGCAGCGACTGAAAATCCATAGAACTTTACCCAAACATCTCAGCAAAGGAAAGAAAAGCACAAATGACATAAACCAAAAACAAGCAAAAGTTGCCTTGCTTGCCACCCTCTTAAATAAATCCAGCATTAGGGAAAAAAAAAAAAAATAGTGGTTCACTGATTAGGGCTAGTTCAAAACCTGCTAATAAACCATGTATGTTTCCATCCTTTTTTTAAAGCATATATTTTTATTAAATATGTTTTCGATGTTAGATAAACAAAACCTAAAGGTTTTAGGTTAGAAACTAATGAAAGAAGTTGTGCTTTTCTGTAAAAGATTTTTGACTTTTCCATTTTGTAAGGCATCTGACCTCGAGGCCTTGCACCTACAGCTTCCTAAAGGAAGTTGCCTGCTGCAGAAGATATCTCTTTCAATACTATGAATCTTTATTTTCATTTCCCCCATGCAAACTTCAGCAGTTAGCAAGAAACTTAACTGTTAACAAAGCACTTTTGTTTCAGTCCTACAATGGATTAATTTGGGATCCCAGGTCCTACACCAGACTAGTTAAAGATAAATCCCATTCCTCCAAGTCCTACCCAGTCTCTTAAATAGTGCTATTTCTGCCCAAGGCTATCTGAGCAAAGACTGTAGTTACGTACTACCAATACGTTCATGCAGAATTTCTTAGCTCTGCCGTGGCTTAAACCTATAAACGGGTCTATTTCTACAGCATATCCTGAGTCAATTCAAACTCAGCTCAAAGGTAACCCGAAACGCATCCCAGTCTACTTTAACGTATAGAACGTGGTGATCCTGGAGCTGTTCTACCTGAGGCTCAGTCAGCCCTGCCACAGGGGAAGCGGTCTTCAGCCGAGAGGCTGCGCAGGCAGCTGGGAGCAGCAGTCTCTTCAGTTCCCCAAGCTGAATTTGCATTTGTTTGCAAATTAGCCTGTAAAGCCTGCCTCTCACGCACAACCAGTCAGCAAAGCCATGCATGTACTCAGTCCCTTAACCCAGCCCAGCGCAAGTGATTCAAGGTAGCCAGGACGCTGGCCTTCTTTAAGCCTGGGTCATTTTGGACAGCAGGAGGATAGGAAGTGACTACGTTCGCACTTGTGGTCCCTTATTCGGGGGAAGGAGGGTGGTAAGCTGTAGTGAGAGAGTGGTGATGAGCAACTAAAGCAGGCAGTATCTTAACTTGATGTGATGAGGACACAGCGACGATTTTCCTAACTCGACTACAGTCAGGGATTACAGCTAAATTAAATTTTCGTTGGACAATGTGAAGCCATGTAGAAAAACAGCCATAACAGATCAGGCCACACAACCTTCTAACCCCATAATCAATTTCTGATGATGGCTAATATGGAAAAGTATTTTTTTTTTACTGCTACTGAACTTAGTTGTACTAACAGAAACATTTCCTCAATACCCTCTCTTCTCATAGCATAAACATATATTTTTTAATTATGCTCGTCTGAGCTGGATAGAAATATTCTTACTAAGGTATCTAATTCATGTTAATGCCAATTAAGATCAAACAATTTCGCCATTTAGACGTTTCCAGAGATTCAATGGGACTGCACTTAAGGGGTTGTGCAAGTGGGCTCGTGCCATAGGCATGGGAGCTTGCGGTCCCTGATGTTAACTTCTCTAACTTGTGCTCAATAACAGCTCAAAACTATTCTGATAAACCCAGACCAAAGAGACAATAAGCTTGTTGTTGATACACACCCAGAAGCTGTTCTGCTTTAATTAAGACCAATGTACTAATTAACTTACCACAGTAAGCTTAACCAGGAGGAATGTAGTGTGAACGGACATAAATTCACAAGGGGTTGTACTGGCCTAATCAACTTGGCTTTTAAATCAGTTTTAATTAAATTAGCACACCTTTACTGCGTGGATAATGTCTCAAACAGGTAGCTGCTTCCAAGTGGTTAAGTTGCAAAAGCATGTTCAATAGGCTAGAGTTAAGTGTTATATATCCAGAGTGCACGAACTTTTAAATTAGCAGGAGAGATCAGGAGCAGCCGTCTGTTTTCACAAAATACAAGACACAGAGATAAACATGGAAGGTGGAAGGCAGTATCTGGACATGCCGTGATCTAGTATAGCGCATGCACGCAATGACTGAGAGATGGAGAATATACACCGTCAAGAGATTTACCCACTTCTGACACAGGAAAAGTCATTCAGGCAAGTATCACCTACCTTTACAACAACCACCGTATTTTCAGAGCAGTCAGGATCAACTGTAACTGCAGTACAGAGAAAGCCTCAAGGCTGCAAATCGTTATTTTAATATGCTGATGGCTCATATGACAAAAAAGGAACCCTACCCTTCATGTTCTTCTGTGAATATCTAGATCGTACGTCGGAGAGTCCTGTCTCTTTGGATATACGTAAGGGCATACAACTATAAAACTGAGTAGCATTTCTGTGTCTATATAAAATACACACACACACACACACACACACACACACACACACGTACCTAAACATCTATTCAGAGATGTATACACACTGTATAATGTAAAAAAAATTGTGATGTGAAACGAAAGATCCCAGCGCAGTTGAAGTTATCAGGCCCCACGGAGCCACTGCAAGCCACGGGAACGGTGGAAACCGCTTAAGTGCGCACCCTTGCCTCACAGCAAACGCAAGGGCGTTAGATTTAGCCTACAGCACAGGTAGCGTGAAGTATCTTGCACTTGCTATGGGCTAAGATCACATGCACGGCTAGTTACCCAGGTCAGCCAACTGACCCAGGACTACTTGTTAAGTCACAGTTGCTGGACTATATCTGATCCCAAGGACAAAGTTAGCAGCATCAAAACACAAGAAATAAAAAATGTTTCTACTTAGCCCAGGAAGTTTGACAGCGTTGCTCATGGTGAGCAGCTGACAAAATAAATGGCACTGTATGCAGCGAGCTACTAGAAGGAACAAGGGGATATCATACATGGACAAGGATGGAGATAACCTCGTGTGTCTATGCAAGGTCCTACGAAGGAATAAAGATCCTTGCTCTCCTGTGTGGGTTACAAGCATTGTGGGTGACAGCAAACTGTGGAGAGTAGCCTCTGAAAGCCACTTTTCCTTTGGAAGAGCAAGGAGTCAGAGAAGAAGTGACAATAGCCACTGCTCAAACTGGCAACTAAAGGACTGACACAGACAAGGGAGTGGGCTGTGAATCGCCTCTCAGTCAACAGGAGAAAATCTCTGCAAGGGTTTCCTTAAAAAGATTCCTTCGCCAAAGTGGCCTCCCGTGGCGTCTGACATAACAAGGAACAATGGAGCCGGGAACCTCTTGCCGTCTTTGAGCCAGACTACACAAGGTTTTTGCACTTGTAGCGTGCCCAGGAAAAACAGGGCACGACCCTGGGAGACAGCAGAAATGGTATCATTCTATCTGACTACCTGGTGCGACGGATGCCACGCTGCTCAGCACACGTGGGACTAACTGCAGCTCTCTGATCTACAAGCATAAGCTGCTATGGTTCAAGAAAAAGAATCAGGGCTGCAGGGGACACCACCAGTACACAACCTTCTCAGGAGAGGCGGAAAGTGGGAAGGAGCTTTTA